CACCATAGAGCACCACACCTGACCCTATACCTAGCTTTCAGGGCCATGGGACCCTGGTCCCTTTGTAGAGCACCTCACCGTCCCCCTTACCTAGTCTCAGCGGCTCGGGGACCCTGTCCACACACTCATACACCCCTTGCAGCATAAACACACGTCACGTAGGAACCACAAGAATGCACATAAACCCCACAGGTGAACTCACACATGCCAGCCACCACTCAATGCTCCTCATGTTGTGGACTGCACAGTCACACACACACTTGTACCCACACATTCACACTATACCCCACACACAAACCCACACAAGCACCCCACACACCCTCAGGAAGTGAGCCCTGCTGATGGGTCCCCTGGATTTCGGCCTCTGGCCAGTTTCTTGGAAGCTGCGCTCAGCACTTGGCTGCTGGCCTGTTCCCCTGAGACCAGGTGTGTGAAAAGAATTGGGGAGGGGGCTGTCCGAGGCTGAAGGAGCAGACTTGGAGACAGGGCTTGGGTCAGGCCTGTGGGGTGAGGCCAGGAGGCCCTGTTGGAGGCTGGCTCTGCGTGCGATGCTGTCTGAAGTTGTGTGTGTCCTGCAAACATCCACGGAGGGCCTACACCTACTCCCCCGCCCTGCAGGCCAGGAGGCGCTCACTCCACCTGTTACTGGGGCAGTGCGGGCAGCAGACCGCCTTGGCTGGACACAGCCCAGTCCTTGACAGCCACAGGCCTGAGGAGCTGCCAGCTGGGCTGGGCAGCAGGAGCAGGAATGTCACAGCAGAGAGGCTGAGGCGTGTCTCCATCCAGGGGCTCCGAGACCCCTGAGGGAGGTGTGGTGAGTGGCCAGGACCTGGCAGGCTCTGGACCCCGGACACAGAGGCAGGGTCGGGCTCGTGGGCACTGAGCTCCCCCACCCTTAGAGGCAGCTCTGAGTGCGTCAGGGCCCACCCTGGAGCACCTCAGGACAAGCGCTGTCACAGCAGGAGAGGAGGACAGGAGGACTCCCAGGGTGGCCTGGGACGCGAGGCTCTGGGGACGGGGGACATCTGAGCAGCGGCCCGGGCAGCTGCACTCGGGCTGGTGCGGGCCTCAGTGGGCCTGTGTGAGTGTGTGCTCTTGCCCTCCTCCTGCACCACGGCCTCTGTCCCCATTCCTGGGTGCCACAGTCACCCGTGGGCCTGGTGGCTGGGCACAGGGGCGTCATTGTCAGGAGTAGAAAACTGAGGAAACGCTCAGCCCCAGGCGGACTGAGACGGAGCCTGGTCCAGCAAGGAAAGGGCCAAGGTCAAATCCAGGGGACGGGGCAGCCTGACTCCCTGCCCCAGGGGCTCCTCCCTCTACTGACCACAGGGAGAAGCTATTGCTCGCTGCCCCCGGCGGCCTTCAGAACCCAGGTGAGGACGGATCCCGCTGATTCCCGAGCTCCCGGCGACCAGCACCGGACCAAAGGCAGGTACTGTTTTTTGGTACCAGGGTCTGAACCCAGGTGCATGGCCACCGAGCCACATCCTCAGCCTTTTATTTCTGACTTTGAGACAGGGTCTCACTGAGTTGCTGAGGCTGGCCTTGACCTTGATCCTCCTGCCCCAGCCTGGCCTGGCACCTGGGCTGGGTCACTGACTTCAGAGACGGCAGCGCGAAGGGTACCCTCTTGCCCATGGGCTGAGCGCCCCCCAGCATCTGCTTCCCAAGGGAGGAGCACATCGTCCTGTCCAGGGGACCCTATGGTCATCCAGCACGGGGTCCACTGTTCCGACAGGCAACAGCGACGATGTCCACAGTCTGCCTGAGGCCCTGGAGATGCCCATTGCCCTTGGCCTGGGTCTGGTGCCTGCCCTGACTTTTGGACAACTGTCCTCCAAGGGGATCCTGTGCAGAGGACAGTGGCCCTGGGGTAGTGACCACTGCCCTGACCTGCCAGGCCTCAGTGGAGACCCCAACCCCCCGGACCCCTTCCCTGACAAAGCTCTCTCCCCTCTCAGTCGACAGGATCTCGACAACAGGGTCATCCTCCCCTCACCTACTGGGGTGGAACGAGAGGGACCCCACCCAGAGCAGGCCTTGAGAACGCACCTGGGGATGCTGGTGAGGTAGGTCATGACACTCTGGAACTCCTTGTCGGGGATCTCGCTGAAGGCCGGGTAGTCGGGGAAGGTGATGACCGGGCTTCCGTCCTGTCCCCGCCCACCTGGGGAGAGACCAGAGGCAGGTCTCAGCAGGGCCTGGGCTGCCCAGCCCTCCCCACCAGCCCCCAGCCCCTGCAGAGTGCCCAGTCTCAAGTACCCTCTTGGGTGAACGGCTGGCTGCTCTTCTCAGTGTCAAAGACATGCAGATGGCACGGGGGACCAAAGGCAGAAGGCACAGAAAAGCAGGTGCACTAAAGCAGATGAGCACTATTTTCTGCTGGGGTGACCACTGGAACATCCCCGCCACGTCCTCTGGCCTGTCCTGCCAGTTGTCTCACTTGAATGGACTTGTTTGTACCTGCTTTTCCAAACTCAGAGCCCGCAGCTCTGCAGGCCCAGCAGTCACATGACACACACCAGGTGTGTCCCAGGGACTTTCTGACTGTTGGGCTGTGGCATCTGTAGCTTCTCTCCTGTTCAGAGTTTCGGCAATTCAGTGTGGGAGGCTCTACTGCCGCAGGTGAATGTTGTGTCCACCTGTGGCTGCTGCCATGGAGGCTGCCATGGAGGCGGGGTTCCACCACTGGGGCCAGTCCTTGGGGGTCGAGTTGGCCCACAGGACAGGCGGAAGTGATGCTGTGTGACCCCAAGCCAGCGCCACCCTCTCTCTCCGGACTCCAGGAAGTCAGGCAGCAGCCTGGGCCACATGCTGGGGGGAGGCACCGGGAGGGAGGGCTGCGAGGAAGGACAGGGAGAGCCCGTGCGTGAGCCAGGCCCAGGCAGTGGGCGAAGCCCAGTGAGTGCCCTGGCCAGCACAGCTCGGCCCATCCTGATGGCCAAGGACGCTACGGAGGTCACCCACCAGCAGGCGGGCGTGGGGCTGCTCAGGCTGGGTGGGGAGAGCTGCTGATCCCGTGAGAACCAGGCATGCCGCCACCACCCTGTCCCCACCTGGAGACACCGTGACGGGTCCATGTGGCACTCCAGGGCATGTGCGGCACGGAAAGACGGACAGTGGTGTCTATCCCCATCCTCATCCCTGCCAACCTGCCCCCACACCCTCTCGGACGCCACCGTGCAGGGCCTGGAGGCCTCCTTTCCTGGCCCCTGGGCCTCTCATCCCCACAGGTCTCTGCGGCCATGTGTCAGTGCCCTGCAGTATCCTCAGCACAGCAGCCTTGCCCCTCAGCAGGACATGGTCCCTCTACCACTTCGGCCCAGGCCTTCCTGCCTTGACCTTGAGTGCCCTGGTGTGGGGCCCGGTGCTGCCCTGTCACTGCGAGAGGGCTGAACCCAGCGTCCAACCAATGGGAGCAAGGCCTCCCCCCAGCTCAGCCCTGCAGCTTGAACCTGGAGGGTCCAAGCCGCCAGCCCCCTGCCCTCGACACTCAGCACACCCAAGGCACTCAGCTCCCGGCCCTGTCCCCAGGCACAGGGCACCCACGGCCTGGCGGAGCGGCCCAGCCCTCTCCCGACACCTCAGGTTCTCGCTCCCTCTCGCGGCGGGGTGAGTGCCTGCAACACCGAGACCTCCTCAGGGCCAGCTCCTGCAGAGGAGGATGACCACACAGCACATGACCATCAGGTGGTGGCGGTGACTTCCCGTTAGGAAGGACTGCTCTGAACCCCGGTGAGCCCCGGGTCCCAGGGTGTCTGGCCCACACCTGCCCTTTGCTGTCCTACAAGTGGGACTGGGTGGGAAGCTGCAGGAACGGACAGGCCTCCTTCTCTGTGGGAGAGCCGGGACAGTGGGAGGGGCCTCTGGCCTCCACCGGCTGGGAATCCTACACTGCACTGAGGCCCCACCCTGCACAGCGGGACCAGGGCTGCCAGGGCCCTGGCCGACCTTGAGGGAGCAGACTTGTGTCTGGTGGGTAGCTCCTGCAGGACTGGTGTCCGAGTGCTGCGTGGTGACGAATCTCAAGTCCCTCTGTCTGTCTTCTGTGCTGGCCTTCACCTGGGTGCAGGTGAGGGTGGGCCATGCTCGTCACTCCACCTGAAGTGGCAAAGGCCCCATGCCACTGGCTGGGCTGAGGCTCCCCGTGAGGGAGCAGCAGCTCCGTCCTGCTGGGAGCCTCCAGGGCTGTGCTCCCCCACAGGCCACTGGGAACGGCAGGCCAGGTGGGGACTTCCCAGGCTGGCCTCCTCTCCCTCTGTGAAAGACCGCACTTGGCTGTCTTAGTCTCCTCACTCAGGGTTGCAGGCCAGATCTGCTGCCCGGCAGAGCGAGCCCCGTCTTGACCCATCGGGGTCTCTTGGAGACGATGTGGCTTTGGACCAGTCTCAGCTTTGAGGGGAAGTGAAGCCCCTGCACTTACTGAGGAGAGTGGAAGCTGGGGTCTTTCTAGGTCTTTCCACGTGATTCAGAAAGCCAGCCCCAGAGCTCGGGGACCTCCAGGGTGAGTGGCAGGTAGACACTGGGAGTCAGGGGCTGGCCACCAGTTCTGAGACACAGGCCACCGGAGAGCTGGGACCCTGGGCAGGCAGCCCCGAGGGGCACAGAGGTCCCTCCTGTGTGGCTGAAGCAAGAGCTGCCCACCGGTGTCAGGGCCCCAGTCTGCAGCCACCCTCCAGACGGGGCTCGCATATCTACACACCAGCCCTGGTGCCCTGTCCCCGAGCCCACACCCACTTTCTGGTGGCAGAGGTGGCTGAAACCCACCTCCCTGACAGCAGGGAAAGGGCTCCCCGTGAGGCACGTCCTCGGTTCAACTCTAGGGTGCTTTCTGTTTCCATTCCTGGCCGGCCTCTCCCGCGGGGATAGCTCTGGCCTCTGGAAGGGCCCACCTGTGAGAGGTGCAAACGCAGCGACAGCCCTGCCGGAGGGAAAGCTGTTCTCCAGGTGGGCCGCCAGGAGGGAGGCTGGTGTTAGGTGCCTGGGTCCAGCACAAGCCTGGCCACCGGCAGCAGAGCCTTGGGCAGGTGGCCCTGTCCATGGGCACACCCGTCGTTCATGCACTCAGGCCATGTGGGTGAGATGTCTGTGCCCTCCAGGCTCTCCGGGCTGACCCCAGGCCGATGACACGAGGTGGGCCTCTGGGAGGCTGTGGTGACGGGGACAGGCCTGCAGGGGAGCTGCACAGTCTCTCCCCCTACAGGCTGCTCTGGCTCACTGTCCATCCCACAAGGACACAGTGAGCAGGGTGCAGGCTAGGACGTGGGCCCTCAGCAGAACAGAGCTGCCCGGTGCTGGGCCGTGACCCGCCCTTCCAGTCTCCAGAAGCACGAGGGGCAAGCTTCTGTGGTCCAGCCACGGGTCTGCAGGCGCATCCAGCAGGGCGGGACAGGCCCTGGCGCACTCACACCCTCCGTGGTGAGAGGCTCCGAGGCGCCGGTCGGCTCACTCAGGAACCTGGACGACTGGACGCAGCCCCGCAGAGACCTGGGTGTGTGCTGCGATCCTCATTCTTCAGAGACGGCTTGATTAAAGGGCTCTCTGCTCCGCAGGGCGTGGCCCAAATGTGGTTCTGCCTGTTGTCTTTACTTGTGAAAATCTACCATGACCTTCAGCAGGTGCTCGGGAACATCAGCGTGATCCATTCCCCTCACACCTGCCTCCGGGTTGCCAACGCCTGGGAGGATCTCCAGCAAGACAGGAGACCTGGTCTCAAGACACTCGGCGGGCACTCGGCGGGCACTCGGCGGGCACAGAGGCACCCGAAGCTCAGGGACACTCCCCGTGGAGGACTCACGCCCAGAGGAGGGCTTCTGCACTCTGGAGGTGGGAGTCTGACGCAGAAGGAAGAAGTCTGGCTCCCTGGCCGGGCTCCGGCTGACCTGGAGTGCCCCCTACAGGCTCCGGTGTGAAGGCCTGGGCCCGTGCAGCAGGTTCACAGGGGCTGTGGGAGTAGTGGGTCCTGCAGCTGTGACGCCACCACTGGTTGGTCATGGGTAGTGGGAGGTGGGCAGTGCAGGAGGTCCCCTGGAAGGTTTCTCTTCTCTCTCAGTGAACCGCTTTGCTGCCCCCACCCCTTCCCCAGGATGCTCTTCCCCACGCCAGCCCAGAGCCAGGCGGCAGCCCACTTGCACTGATCTGAGTCTCTGCAGGCAGCTGGTCACCCGAGTCGCCTCTGTCGGCTTTGGTCCCCAAGCGCAGGGATGCACCCCTGGATGACTCGGGGGTCAGCAGTGGGGTCTGTGCTTGCTGTGAACCCCTGAAGGTTTCAGGTCTGCTGCAGGGTGGGTGGAACCGGGGCCTCCAGGGAGCCCTCAGCCAGCTCCATGAAAACCTAAATGTCCAGGCAAAGAGGGAGCAGGAGAGGGGCTGGGAGGGAGCAGGAGAGGGGCTGGTGAACATGGGGAAGAGCCGTGAACCACGGCTCCCAGCAAAGACCCCTCGCGGGGCGGCGGCTCCAGCCCAGAGACAGGTGTGCTGCAGGAGGCCCACCAGCCTGGGGCGTGGGGTGGAGCGATCCCCTCCCACAGCAGGCCTCCAAGGGCGGCTGAGCTGTCGGGGTGCTGACCTGCGGCTCAAGGGCAGGGTCTGCAGGGGACAGATTTTAAGGAGACCGACTTGTGTGGCTGATACTGTCAGCGAATTTCAGACCCAATTTCCGATCCACAGCAGAGGAGAAACACAGAGTACAGAATCCTACCCCGGGAGCTCTAGATGTCTAGCAGACGGTGGTTTAGTTTCATTTCTGCCATATTTCCAACCCCAGATGACTGGACGGTACGGTGTGGACAGCCAGTGTGGGCAGCCAGACCACACCCCTGGAAGGGCAGAAGCGGGAGGCATGCCATGGGTGGGCCTGGTCCAGGAACAGACGTGGCTCAGCCGTGACCGTCAGGCGACACGCCCTGATTTCCTATGAATGGGCGTGGGAACCACAGGAGGGGACGCCCACAGTGACGGTTAAGGGGATGAAGACCCAGGTGGCCTGCGTCGGGGCGGGGCAGGGACAGCACTAGACACCTAACTGCAGACTCAGAGGACCACCCTGTGTGAATCCTCTGGTGGAATCCTGTGTTCCAGGAGAAGCCTGGTCCTGAGGGCTCAGCTGACCAGGTCAGGCACGCCAAGAACGGGGACCTTCATTTCAGGAGGCCGAGGCAGGAGGCTGCAAGTTCCAGGCCGGCCTGGCAGCGCAGGGAGACCCTGCCTCAAAGTAGACGTTGCGGGCTGGGGTGCAGCTCTGTGGTGGAGTGCTCGCCCAGCATGCACGAGGGCCTGGCTTCAACCCCAGAACAGCAAAGAAGAAAACCTTTTGGACAGAGGGACCTGGGTTCCATCCCTAGTACCAACAACCGACCCGCTGCTGCAGAGATGGGTTCCGTCTGTAACAAATTCCCACAAACCCCACCGTTTGCTCATCAGCTCAGAGTTGCTGGGCCCCCTTGGCAGGGCCTTCTTCGGGGTCTCAAGGCCAACCGAGAGGTCAGCGAGGCTGTATTTCACCCAAGTTTGGGGCCTCTTCCAGGCTCCCTCGGGGGACAGGAGTCTTCAGGTCCTCATGGCTGGGGGCTAAGGGTCCCTGTTCTTGCTAGTGGCCATGGGGCTTGTCTCAGCTCCCAGGGACGATTGTGTCTTCTCCAAGTGGCCTCCTTGACCTTCACAGACAGACAGAGGACCACCCTGTGTGAATCCTCTGGTGGAATCCCGTGTTCCAGGAGAAGCCTGGTCCTGAGGGCTCAGCTGACCAGGTCAGGCACGCCAAGAACGGGGACATTCATTCCATCTGCCGAGGCACCTCGGGCCCTGGCTGCTGCTGGACTCTGGGGAGCTGTGTGACACGCAGTGGGGCCTCCCAGGACCCAGCCTCCCCAGGCACCAAGACCACCCTATGGGGGCGTCGAAGCTCATGTTCAAAGTCAAGCCAGCAGTCCAGGCTGGGGTGGCCACAGCTGTCTGGGACCTTCCTGGGTCCTGACTGGGTGGAGAAAAGGGGGCCACACAACTTATGAGCCTCTACTGCTTGGCCCTGCACCAGAGCCCGTCCTGTGGGGGCCCCACCCTTCAACAGGCCCCCACTTCTCACTGGGAGCAGTGACCAGCCTTGTGCACCACTGATCTCCTCGGAGGCTCGGTGCTTCCCTCCGCCACGCTGCTGGCCGTCACAGGCTCCCTGGGTCCCCAAGACTGAGGCAGCACTGCCAAGCCTGGCCGTAGGGACGTGGGGCTGGGGCTGATCCTGAGGTACACAAAGACCCCGAGGCTGAGTGGGGGTACAAGCCCTGGAAGCTCCTCACTCTCGGGCAGGACCACAGCTGGTGGCACAAGGAGAGCTGATGTCAGGCACCATTTTTCTGAATTGGTCTGGGCAGATGGACTGTCCAGGCCAAAGGGCAGTGTCCACACTGTGGGTGCTCTTGCACCTGCAGGTCTCTGGAGCCTGGCTGCAGGAGCGTCATCATGAGGCTGGGCGAGTGCTGGCCTGCTGGATGGAGGTGGCCATGTCCCCTAGGCTGCTGCTTGGCCAGGGCAGAGGTCACTGCTGGCTAGCGTGGAGGCTGAGGGGCAGCAGGTGGCTGAGGACAGCACACCCACCTGCAGAGTGACCATCTGTCCACCTGTGGGCCTGAGTCCCGAGCACTTCCAGGCACCAGGGCTCTGCGTGGATCTGGTTTCATTGCCCCTGGGCTTCGAGTTGGGGTTTAGTCCCACTGTGAGGTGTGAAGAGGAGAAAGCTGGGCCTTTGGGAGGCTCAGGGTGGAGCCCGTGGTCAGGAAGAGGGAGAGCCCAGACACGGATGGCTGATACGGACTCCAGGTCACCCTGTGACCCCCAGGGTGCCTCGGGGCTCTGCCAGCAGGGCCATCACCAGCGGTGACCGGACCTCACACCTCCAGAACACAGAGCCAAAAGGAGCCTCTTTTCTTCCTGGCTGCCCCGCCTCAGGCGTTGTGTTACAGGCCACAGAGAACAGACCCTACACAGCTGCCCACCTCCCATCACAGTGGACCCGGGGCAGGCTGAAGGTCCCTGGCACCACGACAAGTTCCAACCCGCGGAGCCAGCGCCAGGGCCCAGGAGCTGGCGGCACAGCCCTGGCTCCCGCACTCACCTGACAGGTAAGCGAAGCGCCTCTTGAGCTGCTCTTGGATGTCCGCAGCGCAGAGCGGCACGATGTCCTGGTGCATGATCTCATCTGAGGGAGAGAGACACGGTCACTGGAGGAAGCCCTGCCCGCGCCCCAGGGCCCTGCCGGCCAGCCCCTGCCGCACACCCCCGGGGAGGAGAAAGGCTGGCGAGCAGCCCTGTTTCAAAGGTGCACCAGAGGCAGAGAGGCACAGGCGCAGGGAGGGCCGGGCGGGGAGGAGGCCGAGGGGCGTTGGCCAGGACAGCAGGGCGGGGCCTGACTCACAGGTAAACAAATCCCCTGGTCTCCGCCCACCTGCGTGCTGGCAGGGCCGACAGCTGGGGCCTCCTGTTGCCTGTGTGACAGCAGGCTGCCGAGCCACCACCTGCCACCCCAGGTGCTCTGGGTCCTTCCTGCTTGGCAGCCTGCTGTGTGCCTGGTCCTGGGGGGCAGGGCAGCAGCAACAGGCTGGCCCCCCTCAGCAAGGACGCAGGACCCAGGGCGCTGGCCTGTCTGCTGCGATCAGGTCTGGGGATGGGCGGGCAGCATGTCCAGCCACACCAGAGCCCATCGACCAAGAGCAAGAGGTTCCAGGGAGACGCGCAGGGGCAGGGAGGCCCTGCTGAGGCAGCAGGGGGGGCCCTGGCTGGACAGTGTCTGGGGATCTGCATTCAGGCCAGGACTGGGGTGCCCCTTTCCACAGAAGCATCCAGACGGGGTGTTGATGCTGCTTCTCTGATGACACACGGGGGCACTTCTGGGCTGGGGTGAGGGGCAGAGCGCTAGCCTAGCACAAGGCCTGGGCTCCACCAGCACCCAAAGCCGTCACTTCCGCCCCTGGAGGCCAGGCCAGAACGGGGTGGGGGGGGCAGATGCCACCTGGGCAGCACTGGTCCCGTCCTGCCCCCTGGCCTTGCAGACCACTGAGGTCCTATGCAGGTCCACCCCCCGACTATGGCGTCCCTCCATAACTCCAGCTGCTGGCCTGGCTTTGGGAGGAGGCCTGGCAGCCTCCTGGCCTTGGAAGCACAGGGCGGCACCGAGGAGTTGGGAGACAAGCAGCCACAGCCGCCGGCTGGGCTCGAGGGAGGGCTTGCCGCGCAGAGCCTGTTCCCCCGCGGGGCGGGCGGCAGAGGGTGGCTCCTTCTGTGGGGAAACAGGCTAGAAACCGTCACTGCAAGGAGGCTGGTGTCTAAGATTCCTGGAGAGGTGCTCTGTGGCCGGCACACGCCTCGCCTTGGGGTGCCTGCGTGGGGCCACTGGCCGGGCCGCCCGGGGCTGGGCCTGCAGATGCTCTGTGGGAATCATGCCATCCTGGACCTGGTTCTGCCCAGGGAGGATCCAGATGTAGAAACGCAGGCCCCAGGGGCCAGGTCTCCCTGCAGCTGTGGGCGGCTCTGGGCACTGCCGGGAAGCAAGTTTCCCACAGCCAGGACTGCCCAGGCAGAGGGACGCCAAGGTATGACGAGCCCCGGGGCTCCGGCTGGCCAGGTCCTGGAACATACAGCCCTAGTAGAGACCCCACCACGGTCCAACTTCTAGAGTGTGTCCAGCCCCAAGGAAGGAGACTCCGAGGGAAGCTGCCCCGTGAATCTTTCTGCAGCAACCCTGAGGCCTCACTCTGGACTGGACAGCAGCTGCCCAGACAAGCCAGCGCAGGCCCTCCTGAGAACAGCCTGGGCCTCGCTGTGCCAGCTCCCAGGACCCAAGTGCCTCCGGGCAGGGGTCTTCCTGTGGACTGGGGACAGGCGGCTGTGTCTGGTGCCCTTGAGGGACGGATCAGGGCTTCTTGCCCACCGAGTTCTGGCCAAGTTCCTTGGGTGGCTGCACTGAGAGGAGTCCTGGCCCTGGTGGCCTGATGACCTCAGTCCAGCAAGGTGCCTCCGCCGCTGCGAGCTTCTCTCCACCTCCTACCCAGCAGGCTTCAGACCCCCTGACCCCCTCACAGGGACACGCCTGGGCTCTGCCATCCCCAAAGGCTCGCGCAAGTTCCCCATCACCGGCCTATCAGCAGGACATGAGGGTGACCAAGGAGCCTTCGTCTTCCTTGCTCTCGAGCTCTGGGGCACGGAGGGTGGTGGGCACTGCTTTCAGCTCACTGACGTCCTCTCACCTTCCTGATCCCTGTGTCCACTCAAGAGGACCGGCAGTCTGCATTTGGTGAAGAGAGGACGTGGACTCCTTCTCTGGCTTCAGTGTGTGGGTGGGGGCTCAGGAGCACATGGAACCACAGGGTGGACACACCAGGCACGAGCTCCCATGGTCATGCGGCCTGGGGCAGGCAGCGGGCCGCCCAGCTGTCCCCTGGATCACAGAGCTCTTGTGAGCTGGCAGCAGACACCGTCGGCAGAAAGGACCCTGCCACCGTCAGAAGGGTGGCCCAGGGTGGCCCAGGGTGGGGGAGGCTGAGTTCAGGCCTCCTCCTGTCTCACGGGCCGTGACCTGTGCGTCCAGCAGCCAGGAGCAAGCAGGGGCAGCAGGCCTAACAGCGCTCCCTTCCCAGGCTCTCCAGCTGCCCCCTGGGAAGCTCCCTCCTGTGGCCTCTCCAGGCCCAGGGCCCTCAGCTGTCCAGGACCAGCTCAATCCAGACAGGACCGCAGGGACCCCACTGCCCAGTTTGATCCACACAATGAAGTTGCTCCAAATCCGCCCTGGGGTCCTCAGAGTCCACGGAGGGGCATTGTCTCCCGTCCAGCTGTCCGAGGCGCAGTGGCTGGAATGCAGGTCCTTCCTCCTAACGTCCCCGGGCCCTGGCCTCACCTCGACACCAGGCCTCGCTCAGGCACAGGCGGGTGGCCATCTTGGGGGCAGATCCTGTGGAGGAGCTCCCCTGGATCTGGGTGGAGAAACTGGGCCCTGCTGTACTGGTGACCTGGGCTGGAGTCCTGGCCTCACTCAGAGGGACACAGGGGATGGACAGAGGGCAGCAGGAGAGTGAGCCGCAGCCGCACAGAACATCCAGGATCTGATAATGGCCTCCTCTCCTGTGTCTCTGGCAAGAGGCCTGTCCCAGGGCTTCTGCCTGCTGTCCATCAAGTGGAACAGGTGCATCTCTTCAAGTCCAGGCTGAGGTCAGATGGATGAGGTCACTGCCACCTGGGAACAGACCTGCTCTAGCAGGCCCCCTGTGAGGGTCCCCAAGAGTGGAGTGCACACGGCAGGGGACACAAAGAGGAGGGAGGCGGTAAGGGGCTCCCGGGTTAACGTGGCCAGGCGATGCCTGAGGCTGGGGCTTCGGAGCAGCTGCACCTCCTGGATGCAGATCAGGGCGGAGGGCAGCATGCCCAGAGTGGCCAGCGTTCCTGCCGTCTGCTGGGCTGGGAGGACCTCCACACTCCCGCTGGCCACATGCTGAAGGGCTCGCCTTGTCCACTTGGTCACCTGAGGCCCGCAGGACTTGGCTGGCAGAATTCTCACATTTATCCCAGGCGTCTGGGGCGAGTCGTGGGGTTGGGTGAGACAGTGTGTCTCTCCAAATACGCTTTCTGCCTGATCTGGGAGCAAGCCCTCACGAAACTTCAAATAAAGGACCAGAGGGAGAAGCAGCCCACCCACAGCGGACACGTCAGAGGCACGCTTGGCAGAAATCGCGGGTCCAGAGCCACCAGGGAGGGCTGGCCCAGGGTCGCCTGCAGAGGGCGTCGTCCACACCACCCAGTGGAGCGCGGGCGGCCTCCAGACCCTCACTCCTAGGCCGCCCAGCACAGACCAGGGCCTCCAATTCTGCATCGTGGGGACGGCTGAAGCCCAGGCCCAGGATCAGCACAGAACCCCCAGCCTCGCCTGGATGCCTGGGGCGTGTTCTGACCTGCCCACGCCGTGTTGGTCACCACCCACCCTGACGCAGGCGCTCTCCAGGTGAGCCCGGGGACACTAATGCCCAAGGCACGATCAACTCAGGCCCCAGCACCAACACCTGACTCGGCAGGGCCTGAGGCAGGGTCAGCAGGACTTGGTGGCCACCAACCCCCGCCCCGCACAGCTGGCAAAACAGGACTCTGGACCCACACCACGCCACGGTTGGGGGTCACACCACGCCAGGTGCTGGTTTCCAAGCTGGAAGCTGTCCCCTCAAGGACAGCATCTGGAACCTGCTGCCCAGGACGTCCACTGTGTGCACGCTGCTCGGCAGCCACAGGAGAGCCGTGGCAGACACCAGCTGCAGTCATACCTCGGTTTGTGCCATGGGATGGACCTGTCCACTGCTCTGTCCTCCCAGCAAAGTCTGGGGCTGGACCACCTTGCAGACTTGGCCATGGCCAGGCCTCGTCCATTCCCACCAGAAGAGGGTGGGAGCAGCTCTGCCTGCCCATGCCCGCCGGGCTGTGGCCTGCGGCGGCTCCCTGAGGGGACGCTGCACTCCTGGACTGTGGGCAGAGCCTGCCGGCTTCCCTGGACCCCCGGCCGGCAACCCCGACTCTCAGCCAGTGCCCCACCGTGAAGACCAGTCTCACAGGACATTGGCGAGCACACACCAGCCTGGAGCAGTTCAGGGAAAACCAACACAGCCGAGTCTCCAGCGTCCTGCCCCCGCCCACAGCACCTGGCGCCACGGAAGGTGCAGGATTCCCAGACTTGGCCGCCTAAAGCGACTTTCTAATTGGCTCACGTAGGACATCTTTGATTGCAGTAGAAACAGCAGCCACAGCAGGACGACCACCAAGAACTTTCCACACGTTAATGAGTCTAACTGTCACAGCACTGGGAGGGAACATGGCTTCCCACTTCTCAGACAGCAAACCAAGGCACAGAGAGGTTGGCAGACTTGCTGGTTGTCACGCAGCAGTGGCTAGGGTGATTCTGTGGGTCAGGGAAGGAGGGAGGGGCACAGGAACGGCCCACCTGGAGGCTCCAGGTGGCCTGGCTGGCGGTGGGCTTGCGAAGTAGAGAGGGGAATGAGGCGTTTCTGACCTGGCTTGGGGAGAGTCATGGATAAGGCTCAAAGCAACTGAGGAGCAGGGACACTGGGCCCCCCCCCAGCTTCCTCGGCACGGGCCACAGCACGGGCCACAGCACGGGCTGGCTGCCCAGGGCCTCCCAGGACAGCTGGCTCTGGGGATCCCTTGTCT